CCTGCGCGGTTGTCATCTGTATTGAGAAACCACGCCAGAGAAACCGGCGGATTACTCCGGACGCGAATGGCCGAAATACAGTGACCGTAAGGAATAAGAACGGTTACTCCCAGATTACAGCTCACTCTACGGGACAAGAACAAAATGTCAGGATTAGCAAGGCTGAAGTGCATGCAAGAAGGGACAATTGCGCGAGCCCTGAGCTGCATGAGTCAAGGGTCTCAGGCCCGCATTCAATCTACGAGCGCATGTAATTGTTTTTCCCATACGTCGTATCCACACATAGTTTGAAGAGGAGAATCAGCTAACAGGAACGGGGCTGGCACAGCAACATATCCGACGACGTTGAACATTGTTGGCGCGAAAATATCAAGGCGCGGGCAACAGGCACAATGTATTCGTGGCAAAAACGGACTCAAAAGCAAACCTCTAAGCCATCACTGCGCCAATGCCGACCACCGGCGATGGTTACGGGAGCTAATAATGTAAAATGTCATGTGAGTGACCACTGTCAACTATACATATTACACAATCTGTGCCTATATCACAGTTATCTGCGCATGTTTCACACTCTTCTAACTTTACCTCTGATACAAGGTTATCGGCGTAATCCAAAACGTCAGACAAATGCACATGTTGATCCAGCGATCGGACTTTTTACCTCTGAATATACTTTTTCCTAGCAATAATCATGTTAAGGCATTTCTGCTTCATTATTTTACTACAAAAAACACCAGCAAACTATAGTCCGTTAGTGGACTCCCTGTGAGCGGTGTAACTTACCGCTGATAGTGCTGGCGCTTGTTGTTGATTCCGATGTCGTCTGTGAAGTCGTTGTTGATTCTAAAGGAAAATGCGTGAAATAAACGTGAGAATTGGAAGGATTGGAATGTGAATTTGTCAATTTTATATTCTCAACTGTTCACTTCAGTTCACTTTTTTCGGCAATGCTTCTAGCCAGCCCATATAAATGCGGCTTGCAGTCCTCGTGCTGCCGAATAATGATACGTGTGTTGAAACGTATACTGGAGCTTTGCAAACCGTGTCAAAATTTACATTGCCGTATTCATTACTGATACACGCAGTACCATTCAGTTCCTTGCTTAATTTAACTTCGAAAGCTGCTTTCCTTTCCTCTCTTTATTCTTAACGTTTACAGTTCCAGTTAAAACTTCGGACGTAGAAGATGCGATGCATTGAACAAGAAGTGTATTTCTCACACTTGTCCACAAACAGTAGTGAATAACACTACACGAAGTGCACTTGTGGACGCTTGTCGTGACTAGCTCAAGTCGAGGTGCACTGTTGGAACACTGGTTGTTTTTCGGTATCTGATATTACCAACCACAGGACGACTCACACCTTCTAATGTTGATGGCAGCAAAGAGGCCAGTTCCAGGAAACAGGTAAAAAGTAGAACATGCGATGGCTGGAACAAGAAGTGTATTTGTCTGACGTTTCGGATACTTCAGACAACCGTTTATCAGCTGTTACCGTAGAGGAGTGTGACACATGCTCACATATTGCGCGGTGTCTATAGTACGCAGCGGCCACTCGCATTCATGCTATAATTATCAGCTCCGTAACCACCGATGGGGGGGGGGTCGAAGTTGGTGCGGTGTCAGCTGAGCAATCGACTTCCAAAGTATTTTTTGCCGTGCTTTTTTGTGTGTTTGTGTCGTGGATGAATAATTAGGCGCACATTATGTTCGCTGTCGGCGAAGTTGATGATAAGCCCATCCCAGCTATTGGCTGATTTTCCTGCCCCAAATTTTGTTAATACGGGTTACGGAAAAACCAATTGGTTGCGCTTGTGCATGTACTTAGAACTATGAATTAAACAGTTTGGGACCTTAGAAGTTATCAGCTTTATTAAGAAATAACGCCGGAGAAACCAGTAGATTAGTCAGGACGCGAATGGCTGAACATGCAGGAGCGGTAAGCAATGAAAACGCCTACTCCCAGCTTACAGCTTACTCGTCGGGGCGCGGCCATTTTTCTGAGCTTGACTAAGCTGAAATCCCCAAAAGAATGGACAATCGCGTGAGCTCGGAGCTAAACAAGTCGTGGTTTTCAGGCCCACAGTCAATCAACAAGGGCAATAAACTGGTTTTCCCATATCCACACGTTATATGAGGATAAGAATCAGTCAGATGGGAAGGTGCTGGGGCAGCAACATCTCCGACGGCGGTGAACATAATTGGTGCGTAAGTATCAAGCCACATGCAACATATACAACGAAGTCGTGGCCGTTAAAGAGTTGAGTGCAAACAGCTAAGCCACCACTGCGCCAATGCCGATCCCCGGCTGTCGTTGGTGGGGGCAAATAATTATGGTGTTCATGCGGATGACCGCTATCAGCTATAAATAGTGGACAATCTGCGCCTATATCATACTAATCTATGCATGTATCACACTAATCTCATTTTACCTCTAATGAAGGGTTATCGGCGTAATCCAAAATGCCGGAAAAATGCACTTTTTAATCCAGCAATCGGCTCTCCTAAACTGAGGTTACTTCTCCTGGCAATAATCAAGTTAATGCATCTCGGCTTCACTTTTTAGCACATAAACACGAACAACCCATAGTCCGTCAGAAGGCTCCCTTTGAGCAGTTTAACTTACCGCTGGTAATGCTAGCGCTTTTTGTTAATTCCGACGTCGTTTTTGGAGTCGTGGTTGCTTCTAAAGAAAAATTCGGGAAATAAAAGTGAGAACTGGAGAATATGGGAACATGCATTTGTCATTTTTATATTGGGAACAATTCACTTCAGTTCACTTTTATCGGAAGTGCATTTAGCCGGCCCATTTTAATGCAGGTTGAAGTCTTCAACAGACCACCTACTCTCAGGAAGGCAATTACGGTTAATTGTCGTCCTTTGTTTGTAGGAATTACTGTATTATATAAATACTGAAATCTCCTGTGCATGTGCTACCACATCTGCTATTACTCTCTGACATTGTCTCTGATAGCGAATCTGCGATGGATATCGAAACGTCAAGCTAATAAAAGTATTGTCCCCGCGATCGGGTCGTCTTCTACTCCATTACTTCCTCGGACTCGCATGTTCGCTTTTATTGGCGATGCGAGGTCTATCACTGACTTTATCATATCACCTGACTTTCTAAGGCATTTTGGTCAACTATCCTCCATTCTCTTTTTGCATTTGAAGGTATTTTGTCCTCACGTATCTTGTTTAGCATCTTTTTGAAGTTGCTCCTGTAAATTCGGCTTTTCGAAGGCCAATGCAACCAACAAGTAGGCTTATCATGTACCTTCCGTGATCGTGTCGTCTGCTTGAAGTGTAGTCGGCGCAGGTTTAGGAAGACCTACAAGTTTGGAAATGAAGTTCTGACAGAATGTCCCAACGAGCACAGATTTAATTAAAACTTTAGCATAGTATTGACGAACTTATCCTGGATACACAAGATAGTGTTGTAAATAGGGACTTCTGCATGTGATGACGTTTGAGGAAAATCTTAAATCTTAGCATGCTGGCAAGCACGTACTTTTGCAGGATGTTGGTCCTTTTTTCTCGAGCAGTATGTAGAGACGCCCTAATCAATGATAGGGCAAAACCGTTACGCATTTAGAAAGGAAAAATATTATTTGAGGAGTTTACAATGACAGTTATGCCTACTTACAATCGTGCTTATTGAAATCCAATGTGTCTTCTTCATCCTCTGAATTTTCAAAATAATTTTACACATTCAGGGTACATAAAGCAACGCAATAACAGAACAACTACCACATATCCTACCAATGAACTTTCTAAGGTACAATCCATAAAAACATTATTTGCGTAGGCTATATCGTGTGTGGATCTTTCTGAGTTAGTTAGTGCCAGGGCCACTCAATCGAAAACTTTTTGTAGCCAAGGTATGTGACGGAATTCGTGGGAAACCAAACAATGCTGAACTAAAGGGCGGAAATATGTGATGAGTGCTATAGGAAATAAGATAAAGCATTTGACAATTGTTTTATTTAATTGATAATAACGATGAAAAGCGTGCGAAAAAAGGACAAAAAGAGACACTAATTGGTCAGCAACGGAAGCTTATATACCAACTAAACTGCAAGAGCAAACGTCGTGAGGCCTTTTCGAAGTAATTACCAATCCACCGAGGAATAAACCCCAACCTACTGAT